CGGTCGACTCTGAGGATCCCCTGAGTTGCCAGAGAACACTGTTTCAATGCCGACTGACTTTTTCAGGATCTTCTTGATTTGGTATGATGCCTTTCCGATGAATGGGATAGCTAAGCGGGTTGATGGTCTGTTGGGATTAGGCTGTTGGTTGGTTGGTTTTGCCATTAATACGGATCGAAAAGCTTGATGTACAAAGGCTGGAGGGTAGTTGTTGTGCAAGCAGAATACTTTCTTGATGTGTTGTAATTCTTGTTGAAAGTATTCTGGGTCACAAATCCTTTTTGCTCTTCTGACCAGCGCTGTGATGGCTGCCCTTTTGACATGTTGAGGGGTGTTGGAATGGTAGTTCACATACTGATCTGTATGTGTAGGTTTCCTATACACGCATGTCTTCAACTGACCGCCTAACCGCTTAATTCTCACATCCAGAAAGGGTATAGAGTCATCTTCTTCTGCTTCCATGGTGAAATTGATCCTCTTATGCTGAGCATTAAGATGCTGGAGTAGAGCTGATGGGTCATCTTCAGCTCTAAGCATGACAAATGTGTCATCAACTTTCCGGAACCAGCAGATTGGTGAGATCGGAGAGGTTTCCATGGTCTTTTCCTCAAAGGCTGTCATATAGATTTCAGTAATCAATGGTGACAAGGGGCTTCCCATAGGTAGACCGTGGATTTGTTCATAGATCTCATCTCCCAATGTGAAGTAGGTAGAGGACATACACATCTGAATGAGATCGACGATGCTGTCTGTAGTAAGTGTAGTATCAAGAGGGGTCTCTAATTTAGATATCTTATCTCTTATGATACTCAACACATCTTTACATGGGACATTGGTGAATAAGTCGACAACATCATATGAGTACATCTTCCCTGTGATCTGCAGTTCTTTCAATTTGGTGACAAATTCTTCTGAGTCTTTAATGAATGAGTCAGCTGTTTTCCCCAAAGGTGCCAAGATTCTGCTAAGATGTTGGGCGATGTTATAGAAGACAGAATCCCGAGAGCATATGAGTAGCCGAGCCTTGATATTCAACAACATAGGCCTAATACATCACATCTACAATATACCAATGTAAATGTGGTTGTGTTTTTCCCCATAAAAAAAACATTTTTCCTAAAAAAGTAAATTCATTACAAAGGACAATCCTCTAGAAAAAGAAAATGGCCTACCTGTTAAGTTTAAAGAGGAGCCAGGAATTTGTTTTAATTTGACTTTCTGCATTTCTTCATCCATGATGTTCATCATTCTTACTTTATGATAAACTTCTTTAATGGCTGCTGGGTCAAACGCTCTGACCCGTTTAATTTTACTTTCAATCTGAAACTCTTCATCTTTACCAGTAGATATATCTTCTACAGTACAAGCAAATGTTGGTTTAAACAGTTCTGATACCCAATCACCAGCATTTTCAACATTGTCAGGGTTTGGTTTAGGAACGTAGGTTTCAGTGAATTCTCTTGCAACTTTCTCCATGTTTGCTGAAAATTCTTTTGGATGTTCGAAAATGTCTGAAACAGAAAGAATAAAATTTTTCTATGAATTGAAATACCAACTACAAAATACTAGTGAGAGTCTTACATTGCCTTTGGGTTGGTGCAAATGTTAACCACTGAAGAAATAATTAATTGTAAAAATGATTTCCATATGAATTTTCTAGGAGGAAAGTGTGTCTACTCTAAATGTAAAATCAATGAACCATATTTTTCTATGGACCTAAAGGCATTCTAAGACAAATGGCATACAATTGAAAATTTTTATTTTGAGTACCGGTATTTATGAAATGAGACAAAAAATTCAGAGCTCAATGTAGTCAGACAGAAGTTTAATCAATTTTTGGTATTGACCCATTCTAATTTAGCCACGGATACTTTGATGTGGACCTTTAAATTTACTACATCAGCAATGAATTGAGTAGTATAATATCTGTAATATTATTGGAATTTCAGACCAGTTAGTTACTCATTTATATGTATACATTGGAAACCAAAAATATTGAAAATGAATTTTATTGTCTTTCTGAATATAGGCTCGTTCTTAGGTTTTTCACTAAATCAAAATGTCCTCAACCACATTGGTTTACATTGAACCCAGCATTATAATTTACGTACCAGTACAAAACTATTCATAAAAGAAATGAAGACGAATTTTCTCCAGATTAGAATGCCGACATTTTGTTTGGGGAATCCTTCAATTTATACCACGTGACGAACTGTAATTTGATTGGCTGATGTAGACTTCCGTCGATCTTATCCACCGTAGTGCAGATAGAGGAGTCAAATCACCGAAAGATGGGGGAGAGAGGTAATTTTCTTAATTTATCCTTAGTTCAGACATTTATGCATCTTTGTTAGTCACTGGTAATAATATAGCAAACCTAAGGGTGCACCGGATACATTTTCAACAAACGACATACGGTAGACTTTGGGAAATACCCAAGAACATGAACGTGCTTCGTGGAATTTGGTGATTTCCTTGTAAGGCAACTGATGAGGTCACGTCATTGACGAGTGAAAGTATTAAATAGTTGTATTTTCATTGACGGGAAATTAAGGGGCGTGTCATTTTGCTATTTTTTACAAATAATTTGTTTGTAGTGCTTGTAATAAAATTATTAAAGTTACTAAGAAGTAGACCTAATTATCAAGTCAGTTGTTTATAGGCTAGTGCATATTTAGTTTATATCCTTCTCAGGAATATTTCATTTGATAGTTCTACTTTCAATTTGACTTAAAGATATATTATTTGCTTAGCTAGCTGAAAAAGCTCAATTCTAGCTCTATGCAGCAGTTTTCTGAATAATAATGTAATGCATAGTAACAGAAGTGCAACAAGTCAAAGTTCCAGTCTGTCACAAAAGGCAAGTGACATCATCATATGTTATTGATAGAGAATGATTTTATATTTATTCATGTATCCTGGTATTTGAAGTGCATTGGACAGGAACATTTACTTTTTTATACTGTATATACACATCATTCAATATTTCTATGCAAAGGTTGATAGCATTATTGATGCATTAATAAGAAGTTATAGAGATTACTCAACTAATATTGAAGTTAGGATCAGTACAAGAAGTTATAGAGATTACTCAACTAATATTGAAGTTAGGATCAGTACAAGAAGTTATAGAAATTACTCAACTAATATTGAATTTAGGATCAGTACAAGAAGTTATTACTCAGCTAATATTAGTTATAAAACTTGATACTGAAAGGTTATGATTAATACAAACAAGATGCTAGATATAGGAAAGGAATGTTTATTTCTAGATTGATTCAATATACTGTTCAATAAACAACTGTACTGTAACACCATCTGTTATATTGTATATCAATACATACCTGTTGAGTTCGAAATCTCTCTTGATTAATTACTTTTTTCAAGATGTCTTGACTTGCTAATCATATATCAGTCACTATTCCACAAACCACAATTCATCATTTTAATCAAGAAACATGTCCTACATGACATGCTGTGATTGGTTCAGGTTAATGTCATTAGAATGGAACAGCAGTAGAAAACTAGTAGGATTACAATAGAGACAAAATTATATTTGTGATCAACTCTTAATAATCTAAAAGTTCATGTGTTCATTTGACTCAGTAAGTGAAAGGTTTAAAAGAGAATCCTGTTTGTTATTAACTTCATTGTAGGATTAGGTACAATTTGCTGCTAAATGAATCTAAATAAATGAAGCTTTCTTTTTAATCCAGGTAAAATTTACCAGTTAGACTAAGAGTGATACAATACACGTTATCACAGATTATCTAACATTACATTTTTACCTTCTATTGTTTATTCTACACTCTTATCTTGATAAGTTACCTACTACTTACTGCACTCACTGTTTAAAGGAATAATATCTCTTAGGATGAATGAGTCAAAATGAGTCAGTGGACTTACAGGGTGTCATAACTATACAAGGCCAAACATTTTTCAACATAATTATTTATAATATTTAAGCTTTAATGTGTGAAATATCAGAAAAGTACCAATAACCATGTTTTCACTGAGAATAGTTAAAGGGACAGGTCATGAATGAAGTCATGAATATATGTAAATAGTTTTCAGAAGTACTAGAAATGTATGAAAATAACATTATTCCTTCAAAAACATTTCAAACTAGGAATTTTACTCATTATTACTATAGATGTATTTTAAAATGACGAATCGTCTGTCATTATTTTAACATTCAAACGGGGATAATTCTGGACACTCATGGATTTGAAAGCTCAAATTTTGACGTTGAGCTGTGAACACTATTACTGATTGGCTTAGCTATAAGATTCCTGTTTGTGATACTAAAGTATGACTGTAAGACGCAACTTTCCTTTTACTAAAGCTGGCTGTAAGCTAGTAGCTTTATTGCTGAACATGCTAATTGGTTCCCAAATAAAGAAACACACGAAAGCAAGCTAATAACTGGCTTTTCCGATCAGTTGAAACACAGTTACAGAGAGAATGTTATCTAACTGGTCCCTCTGATAATTGTAGAGACAAATTGAGACTTACTGTCCAGATCAATCATAGGATAAATGTCTGATTATATTCTCCTTGAAATGTGCTGATAATTAGTTGTGTCAAAACAATGATAGTAATTAGTACCTAGACCTATATATTTGGTGCTCCCTATGATACAGTGTTTGCTTTCTAATAACTTTGTTTATTTAACTATTTTATGTCAGCCACATTTATTATTGCTTGGCCTAGTTAGATAGAATATGATATGTGAATGGTTTACATATTGAAACCATTGTGAATAAAAAAGTGTGTACTCTACCTTATATAAGGGATATAGGATTTTGACATTTGGTACATTACTATACCTGTCTTGTAACAGAAAGGGGCAATAATAGGACATTTTGCTAAGACTGTACAAACTTATCTCAACAGCATTTCAAATAGAAGAACAATATCATGGGTAAGTATGCTTACGTTCATAATTCAGGGTGGGTCATGGAAATCCAAGGACTTCGCCCTTTTTTCAGACCCAGACCAATCTATACTCTATTCTAACTGTAAGAAACTTGGAACTTGGAAAGGATTACAGATAGAACAGAATTTTCACTGTATGTGTAAAGATTTGGATTTATTAAGTTGTTAAGCTTATCATAGTATACATTTCACATAGTAATATATCTTATAGCATAAGTCTGTAACAGAAATCATATATTTTGACAGAAAGTTATGCTTGATTGATTGGGTTCTTTTTTCTTGTATCATGTTTAAGATTGGGTGATTGGAAAACTTCCAGAATTAGATATCCAATATCAGTGCTTTCAAATGAAGCTGAACATTTTGGTACACTACATATTTTATGCTAATTAGTGGTTACCAGAACCATTTATTGCTAGCTCAGGTGAATGAGTTAAACACCCTGTTATATGTCATGGCTATTGTAGCATAAATTCCTAGACACGTTTTTCATGATTGGCATCATGCTGCTCATTACAAACATTGTGAGAATGAACTTAGTAGACGGAGCAAAACTCAGTTTTCTATCTATCCATATAATAGAAAATTGCTGATTTTTTATTTCGAATCCATCTGATTCTAAATACATGATTTATAGAAGAATTTTGGCAGATCATGGTGTTATATAACCTGCTAAGCAAATTAAGAAACTTCAGGCTATAGAAAATCAGTCAGTTGAATCAAGTTTTAGGACATTAAGTATTCTGCTAAGGCTAGATGTTTTGGTACCTACATGATGGTGATCATTCGACAATCCTCATCAGTTTCCATAATGCTGAATCTGACTTTGTAATGAATAGAGAATTTTGTCATTCATTACCATATATGTCGCTGAGCGATAACTGTAACTTTTACAGTAGGCTTTGATTGGTAATTAATGTGGTACTGAATGATAATTAATTGAAATTGAACAATTAAATAAAAGTTTTCTGTTAATTATATTAATAATATTTAAGTAATTGCACTTGGAATATTTATGGCTTTTTTGTTATTTTGTAAACCAATCAATGGGAGTCATTTATTTGTGGTTGCCCTGGTAAATTTTCAGGCCTTGGGATGGGAAATTTCTAGTGACCTTATGGGCTATCGGGATTCACCAGTGGACATGTCTAAGCAATAGTGGACAGTAGTTTTATCCAATCTTAGTTGTAGAAGCATTCAATTTGTTACAAATTACCACCACATGTGTTAATGTGAGCCAAGGGTAGCTAAAAGTAAACTTACCACAAGTGGTATTTATTTAGTAATACAAGTAGGGCTGAGTAAAAAAGAGTAAGTTGGTTAAAATTTGTCATCTTGTAAGCAGATGATCAGTACATGGTGTCATTCAATACATCAGTTCTACCTTGATAAAATAATAGACACTAACATCAAGTGTGATACTATATAGTATTGAGTTATATTGAGATAGTGCCAGTTAATATCTATGTCAAGGTGACTTGTGGGTTGTAAATCGCTAACTGGCACTAAGCTCTAATCTATTCTCAGAATGATTCCTGTAATTGAAAGTCTACCTATTAAACAATAAAAGGTTTAAGTGACACATAATAAAAATACTAATGCATTGCATGTGTTACCTACATGCTTGGGGTATAATAATGTACTACAATATTTCAGTGGGATTTAACTATGTATTAGTATTGTGCACGATTGCAGTAAATTGTCAAACAAATTGTCATCCCTGGCATCCCTATTTAGGGGGAGGACCATAAAGCCATTGCCCTCAACTAAGGACTATGAAAGGTATTTTTGAAGTGAAAATTAAACCCTAACTAACTATTTAAAATCATCTTAGGCCATCAGAAATTTGCTTCTTGGGGCCCTCTTGGCAGACCCCCCAGCCTCAAGGGGCTGTGACCCTTCATGCCTTACCCAGCAAGGGGAGACACCCCATTTTCTGACTCCACCTCAGGTATTTCATAGATATGCCCCTGATACATAAATGTATGAATTTACCTAATGTACAGGAAAGGTTTCTGTTATTTCAACATGAATCAATAAGACAATAATAAATTCCAGCTCAAGACTTTCAAATATTTCTGATTAATGATAATTCACCTTGGCATCAGTCAATATCACTAGGCACAGAAAGTTTTTGTGAAGTACTAAAATGTGAATCCTTTTTCCGTTCAAGAAATAATTATCTATATTCTTAAACTTTTTCAAATTACCATTTCTGCAATCATGATCAGTTAATGCCTAAATGATAATCTGTATCAAATTAATCATATTTATGAATCAAAAGTCACACAGAAATAGAATGCAGCAGTATCTGACATAATCTGCAAATTTATGAAGAAAAATCACAACTGGTTTAAAGCTACCAGCTTATTTCCAGTATAAACGAGAAGAAATTCCATGACATTGACTTTTATTGATTTGTAATGACCTTCACCTTCACATGCCTTTATGGAATCGAGAATGATCTTCCTGTCATTTTCCAATACCGGCATTATCGGACTTTCTCAGCAGAATTCTTCAATGCCAAAATGGAGAGAATTTTGCTGAGATTATTAAGAAAAATTAATTTTGCTTGTTTTCCTAGTCCTAAGAATTGTAAGTAGTGGTCTGTGTATTGTACACATTAAAATGTTGTTATGTTGTTTAGCACAGACACCTATATATAGATATAATATAGATGTTTTACATACTATTGTTGTGTTTGTACTGACCTTCAGATCATTAATAATCTCAAAGCTGATCAATTTATAGCTTAATATTAATTGAATTTGTTAAATAGGTTTTATTAAAATGAGTTACTGATTTACACTATACTTTTATTCTCGATTAAGGCTCATATGATTTCAAGCCATAGTACCTGCCTACTGGTACCTACAACTTGCAATGAATGTAAACATTTAAAAGAATTTGAATATTGGCTATAACGTTATTTATGGACTGGCCTTTTCTTTTATAGTAAATCAAACAAACTTTACTCAAGTTATCATTGACAAGCTGAAGGCCCTTATAAAAAAACAGTTGAGTGAAGTCTATGACTTGATTAAAACACTTATTTTATTTGATAATATCAAGGTACGCTCAGTCATGGACAATAGATGATTTGTATGATGTACATTATTGCCTCACTGCACATCCACATCTTTTTTCAGTAATGTGAAAAAAATTAGCATTTTTGTTTGATATAGCAAATTTGAAGTACTGTAACATAGACTTATGATTGCAATATTTGTATATTTCAGCTGAAAGAGAAGCCTTTGTTACTTTGGCTACAAATGATACATATGCATTAGGATGTCTAGTTTTAGCCAATTCAATACGGCAGACCAAAACAACCAGAAAATTAGTTGTTATGTTAACAGATGGTGTCACATCTTCTATGAGGTAGGGCATAGTCTATGCATAGTTTATCTTGTGTACAATGTGTGAAATTTTGATTTTTGTAAAGGGTAGTATGACTGTCTGGTTCTTCTGCAAAATGAAAATAGCATAAATGATTTATCATGTCACATTGGTAATAGCGACATGTAAAATATACACATTGTCACATGTGACTGTTCAAATTTGGTAAATTGTAGATTTATAAATGTCAGATTTCATTATGAAAAGGGATACATGAGGTTGAAATCAAATGATAAAAGCAAAAATTTAGACTGTATTACTATGTAATGTAAGTCTTCTTACAAGTGCTTAGATAAGCTTATTGCAAACATGATACAATAATAATAATAATAATAGTGATATTATAATTATTTATTGTAATATAACCATAGTCCTAACATTATAATGAACATGTAAATTTATTTTGACCTTTATCTTATATAATATTACAGGATGATAGACAGTATTTATCTCTTACCTTTCTCTATATATAATACTATCTATATTGTTAGGACAGTATAAAGGTTGAACATTATTATCTCTATAAACCAGGCTTACATCATCTAATAAACATTGATTACTGGTAATCCTTATTGTAGCCTGTCATTTACAGATGAATTGAAAATTAAGCAAGAAACCTTAATAATTTTTCATTATTATATAAGAAATTTAAGAAATTGAATTGCTAATATAATGTTAGACCATCCAAAATTTTGCCTTTTCAAAAAGTATTTTGACAAAATATTATGATTGTATCCTTCAAAAATATTATCTTGGTAACAAACGGACATTTTTTGTTCAAAATCACTTAAAAATAGAAAATAGATTTTGAATGTTGTATAAGTAGATCTTCAAATTGTCTGCTATAAGTTATGTGAGTTATTGGTATTTTAAAACATAACTGTCAATAAACTGAACTTCAATTAGCTTTGTTACATCTTCTGAAGACCAATTGATATAAAAATATGAAAGTCTATGTTTTCTAACTTGCAGTGAAATACTGTGAATTCTATATTATCAGTAAGATACAATAGTCATGCTGTTCTTTGGACATGTGTTTTATGCATCATTTTCTACTTATTACAGACACCAATTAGAAAGAGTTTTCGATGTATTATATGATGTAGATTTACTGGATAGTCGAGATTCCTGTAATCTAGCACTACTTGGTCGTCCAGACTTAAGTTGTACATTTACCAAGTTACACTGTTGGAAATTGACCCAGTTTGACAAGGCTGTGTTTTTAGATGCTGATACATTGGTAATTGTTATTTCCTTACATTCAATTGTGTCCTATTATATTTACATAGGCCAATAACTACTCTGGCCCCTTCAGTCTGATCTTTCAAAATATGGGGCATACCCAGAGCCATCTGATGTAGATATTACCTGGTGATTAAAGGTATTCTACCTCTTAGGATGACCATAAAATTTAAAATTGAATAAGAGTCTCTCTATAATCCAATAAATCCATAACACTAAGTAATAATTCATTAAACTTAGTCATTTTGGTACATGTTTAGAAGCTAATTTATTAGTAATTACTGATATTTCAGGTATTGCAAGGAGTAGATGAATTATTTGATAGAGAAGAATTATCTGCTTCACCTGATGCTGGTTGGCCTGATTGTTTTAATTCTGGTGTTTTTGTTTTTAAACCATCAGAAGAAACTTATGCTGCACTCAGAGATTTTGCTCTGGCTCAGGGATCATTTGATGGTAAGCTTCTGATTTTACTTGGCAATTGAATGCTAATAATTAGAGCTATGAAATCATAGATGATCAATTTTCGTTGAATTTGTGTTAATCAAAAAATACATATTCTGAAAATGTTATTATTCGTTGGGGCTTAATTTTGGTAGATTTTGTTGACAATACATATTCGTGAAAAATAGTTGTTGGGGCTTAACAATCCACAAATTCATGTCTCCGCGATATATGAAAAATTAAAGACTTGGTGCCTTCAAAAATAAATATTTTATACTAATCGTTTGTAATATTACTAAGCATTTTGCTAATAGAAATAATTAAAAAAAATTGTACTTTTTGATTTTTTTAGGTGGTGATCAAGGTTTATTGAATTTATTTTTTCGAGATTGGGCTACCAAAGATATAGCACGCCATCTACCTTTCATATATAATGTGGTATCACAGGCATTTTACAGTTATTTACCTGCTTTTACACAGTAAGTAGAAACATTATCCAGCTAAGTAGAAATATTGTCCAGAATATGATGGAATGAATTCATATTAAGGTAATGAAATGATTACATGATGGGGAAAAATCAAAAAATATTTTTTTAACATTTCAGATTTAAAAATGATATAAAAATAGTCCATTTTATTGGTCAAGTCAAACCATGGCACCATTCTTTTAATACGATTACTGGACAAGTTCAACTTTTACCTGGAACAGGCCATGATCAGAACTTCTTACAGCTGTGGTGGAATTTATTTATTAAACATGTACAGCCAGCTCTAGATCCTACTGTAGTAAGTATTACTTTGTTCAAATCTTGGAGATAGTTGATTTAGCTTTTTACTGGTTTGAAATCTTATATTTACAGTCAAGATATCTTTTAATTGATACATTGATGTTAATGCTAAATATTTGTTTTACCAGTTGATATAGCTCAATTTAGCTATTCATAGCACTTTTCAGAATCAAAAAATAGTATACTGTTCTCCTATAAACAATTCATCATACCAGTTAAGAATGTCATCACAGGGTGTTAGTATATTGCCAGGGTACATTGTAAATGAATATTAAGTGAAAAAATAAATAATTGATGACTATATTTTCTTATTTTAACAGATTTTAATGAGATTTTCAGATTTTATACTATCATGATTTTATTGAAAAATATCTTAGTTACTGTAAATAAATCCAAAATTATCAGAGTGGAATCAGATAGACTCAAGATTATACAAAAACCTAATATAACGTGTCATAGATCAGAATGTATTTTGTATGACAATGAGTTTAATGTGTGTGTTTGCCCTGTGCATAATGAATGCTGAATGATTATTGTGTCTTTTAATATGAAAGTGATTTGAGTTATAATTTGAATATTATTAATGACTTACTAATTCTATTTTTTCCAATAGTCAGTGGAAATGGTAAGTGTATTTCTTGATATACAATGTAACAGTACACTCTCTCTAAATTACAGTATCAATCTGTACTATACATTTTAGTCACTACTGCTTTATTTACTAACAGTTCTATTTCAATCAGTAATAACCTCGGGGATGGGTTATCAAAAACAAAACTGGATATAGTGTAGCTCTTGTAGTAATACAGAATTTCTTACAGGAATTTCTATAATAACATTTAGTGCTAATATGTGGTCCTATATCCAGAATTGCTGTTAATTTTAAGACGTCATGATCAGAAAATAAGTTAAATAAGAAAAGTTTCATAGTTCAAATGCATAGCACTTCTTTTATGCTCTGTACTTGCTTTGGCAAATCAAGCTTTGTGGGAAACATACCAACACTGCACTCCAAAATTCATATCATATTGAAGCACATAAGATAAAGATGTTGAATGTCCCAATTTTTCCATTTTTGTCTTTTATCTTTATTTTTGCATGATTTCTGTTTATCATACATGGCATTGATTTATAGGAGATGACAATTCAGTTTTTGGAAAGTCATGATTGCCAGCCAGAGAGGCTGATCTTCAATTATATTCAATGAATTTTCACCACATGGACAAACATCCAACTGTCATTCAAAATGACTGAAATAAATTGGTTGAAGTTTCAAAACATTCTTTTCTTTTTTACTAAAAACATTGATCTTGATCTTTTGAAATCTTTTAAACTTGAAGTAATGATTGATTCTGATGGATATTTCAGCATGAAATATTGCCATGTATGATGAATATATTATGTTTATTTTGGACTGGTAGTGTTTATGTTTAGTCCTAATTCTCTTTGTTTACAGACACCCTTTATAAGACACACCTCAGCACAGACTCCATTATCAACGCCTCACCAAGGTTCTTCTACTTATCAAATTATGTATCCATACGTGCCTCCATCTTTAGATGATATAACTTACACTAGTAGTGATAGCTCACCTTCCCATTCACCATCTCATAGTAGTTCTTCAAACTTTATTAGTGAACCTAGTGATACTACTAAACAACTTGCTACCCATCAGATTTCAGCCACACCTAGTCAAATTATTGAGATAACAGACTCTCAGAAACCATATCTATTATATGAGACACATTATGCAGAGGAACCAATTTCTCATATTGATCCCGATGCTGTTCCAAAATCACTTTATGATGCTTGTGATTTAGAGCCTAGTCTAAAACAAGATTCTGGAGAGGATGAACATCTTTCTGATGCTGATGAGGTCAAACTAAATCAATCAAGTAAACCTTTCACTGATAGTTTGGGGTCTGTGGAGTCAAAGGAAGTGGTAAGTGGGTTCTCCTATGAGTCACCAACATGCATATTACTGGGTCAATGTTTGACTCTTGAGTCATTCATTAAAGATAACAGGTTGAAGTAAGTAGGAATAAACTAGCCTTAAAATGATTTTTGCTGTTGGTGACTCATTTTGAATCTCTCCAGATCTTTCATGTCTTTTGGTGATTGGATAAGATTAGGTTATACATTGAGTGATGGTGTTGGTGTTCTTTGTTAAATCTTTCTCTCAATTCCTCTATACTCTCCTATACCATTTTATATCTTAAAAATTGGTTCACATCTGGAGCAGGCTACAAATAATATTACTGTATTGTTTAAAGTAAAGGTTTAACTCATCAGTTGAACTTAGATTAAGTTACTTTTTGCCAGTTTAAAGGGCAATAGTCCAAAAATATGGAAAAAAAAATTTCAATTAAAAAAAAGGGATGATTTTCTCCTAAAGGATACTTTTTTTCTAACTCTGGACATATTTTTGATGTCTCTGAAACACATAAAATCCCTTTAATAGTTTGATTTACACATATGAAACAAATTATGTTTTGTTGTATGATCCCATTTCTACTTGAACATAACTGTTAGTTGAAGTAGGTACACAAGGCAGAAAGTTTTATTTCATACAAATTGTCTGTTTTGCCTGTTTAACATATTTGTTATATTACATAATGATTGTAGGAAGTCTGTATTACATCAATAATGCTACAACCTTGACCTTAGTAATACAACTCTTGACCTTTCATTCTATTACACTTACATTGTCTACTTCATGACTGATATTTATGTTGGCATTTCCACATCTCTAGTAAGAACATCTGATATTTTGACTTGCAATAGAGAAGACAAGATAAGTGAATGATTTTCAAAGTTCACACACTACCCTTTACTCTTACTTGTTAAACCATCTCTCAGTTCTTTACAACATAGACATGATGTAATATTCCTAAATAACTTAAATACTGCACTAATTCTACTTGAAAACTGAGTGGAGATCTCAGTTGCAAAGTGGTGTCAGGGTGAGCAAACCCTACTTTATCAGCAACTTCAGAATGTTTGCAAATTATTCCAATAATCAAAAGAAATAAATACACATATATCTTCTTTCGTCTAATTAAGTTGTGGGTATATGTTAAGAAATTGACCCATTTTGATAAAGTTATCAATTAGATCATGTAGAATTGAAATAGATGATTGTGTAATAGTGTTTTTATATCTGATTATTCTTTATAGGCGTTTGCATTGCATTGCGAGCACTTCTTAAATCAAAATAAAAAATTCTCCTCTCTCACTGTCCAGCATGGGTTTAATTTCATTTTTAACTGTAAAAGGACTGGATATAAATTGCTAAATAAATGTAAATTCTAAATAATATAACACTGCTTATAGTTTTTGAAGTAACTTTTCCAATACATGTGAAAAAAACTGAAAGATAATACCTCGAGTTTCCAATTATCTTTGATATTGTCTATAATTTTGCTTACTGCTTTTTAAAATCTTTCATTAATAGCTCTATCAATATTTTGTAAAAGTGGATTTAAAAATGAATAATTGTTTCCAGTATGTAAATTTGTGTTTGGTTAAGCATGAAAAATAATCAACTGTGTGACTAATGAAATTAACTAATTTATTATTGAAATCTTTTCATAAAACTAATATTAAAGCCATATTTTTGTCTTTTTAGGGAGGTTTGGTTGGAGAATTAGCTTCACTGCAGATCAAATCTGGTGGACCTTCTGTTGTCTTCCTTGATGATTCTGATAGAAGATTAGCATGGGAACGTGGTCAGATGGACTATATGGGTGTTGATAGTTTTGAGAACATTCAACGAAAGTTGGATAGCAAGATTGAAGACAGATCACCAAGTCCAGCAACTTCAAGGCAAGTGTTATCTGAGAATGGTAGTCGAGTAGTTAGCGATGGTCAAATTGAAACTTTTGCTCAAGAAATAGTAGCTAATGCCATTGAGAATGTTGTGGGAACTGACTCCCAGAATGTTACTGGGGAACATGCATCAGCATCAGTTGGAGAAGTTGGTGGATCATCAGTTGTCATTAATGATAATTCTACTGTTCATTTGTCTGAAACAACTTCTTCAACCCTGGAAACTGATACCACAACAGAATCTGTGCCAACTGTGGATAACAATTTATCAGTTTCAGTACCATCTACAGATGAAAGTGCCTCTTTTACCTTACCAGCTGCAGATGAAAGTGCTTCTTTTACTCTGCCTGCAGCAGATGAAAGTGCATCCTTTACTCTGCCTGCAACAGATGAAAGTGCATCATTTTCCTTACCAGCAGTAGATGAAAGTGCATCTTTTACTCTGCCTGCAGCAGATGAAAGTGCATCCTTTACTCTGCCTGCAACAGATGAAAGTGCGTCCTTTACTCTGCCAGCAGCAGATGAAAGTGCATCCTTTACTCTTCCAGCAGCAGATGAAAGTGCATCTTTTACTTTGCCTGCAGCTGATGATAGTGCAACTTTTACACTTTCATCTGATAATGCAGTCGATTCGGCTGCTGATGCAAATATTACTATAGATGCTTCAGTTAGCATCCCATCTGCTTCTGTTGAAGTAGAAGAGCCCAAGACAAAGGCATCGAAATTTGGCTCCAAATTTGCAGCCCCAAAGGAAGAATCAAAGCCTAAATTCTTTCTTGGCCAAAAACCAAGTGATCCAAAGGCAAAACCAATTTCCAAAATACTGGGTTCCAAAACAAATGAAGCTACAAAGACTGATGAATCTTCTAGTAAAAAGTTAGAAGATCCTGTATCAAAAGGAGTTGAAGAGACTAAACCTGCTTCTAAGTTTGGCGGTTTAAAATCATCATCAGTAGCATCTAAATTTGGAGGTGCCACAACAACAACAGCACCTACTACTAGAACATTTGGTGCAGGTGCACTGTCCAAAACTAGTAAACCTGGCACTTCAACAACAGCCAGTGCCCCCCAAACAACAACAGCCACTGAAGCAAAGTCTGCTGGCAAGATAGCTGAAAAACCATCTCCAAGTCCTAAAACACCCGAAAAACCAACACCAGAGACAAAACCATCTCCGTTTGGTGCAAGAGGTGGTGGATGGAAACCCAAAACTGATGCAGAACCTAAGCCATCTCCATTTGGTGCAAGAGTTGGTGGTTCCTCTTTCGGAGCTGGCTTAAAATCAACTACTCCTTCAACTCCTGCATCTGCTGCTAAGCCAGGTGCTGCACCCAAAACTGAGGCTGAAAAACCTGAACCTACCCCATCCAAACCTGAACCTACAAAGTCTGCTTCAGGAACAGCTGCACCTCGACCAGGTGGTAGAGGCTCAGTTTTAAATAGGTTCCCCTTCAAATAAAGTCCACAAAACCCTATTAGTTTCTTAGCTTATAAGAATTGCTCATGCATCGTTTGAATGAATGTTGATAGATGAATTTTTGTGATACTTTATTTCCATTTTAATGGACATTATAAAGCTAAAAAGATTGAACCAAAGTCTCTTTATCAATTTTTTATTTTATTAATTATGTGCATGTGCTTATTAGAAGAGTGAACTGTTTGAGAATTGAGAATATAACATAGTGTGTGATAATTGATGCTTGGTTAAGCCAAGTAACATCTTACTTTTAAACTGCTGAAATAATATATATTGATGTTTGTGGTATTCATTGCTTTTCAGTTTATCTAATGAAATAATAGGTTAAATGTTCTATGTAAATGTGGACATGTTTCTGTTGAAACAATTTTTCATGTAAGAAAATGGTTCTTTATGTCAATCCATAGGTTCTTCTCCAAGATGAATCCTGATTCAAGACATTTTGAATTAAACCCATCCCTTTGTTTTAATGTTTTTAGCATGTGCATGATGTGTTACCTTCTTTTTCATTTCAGACCTGTTGATAAATCTACACCAGTGTCTTCCCCTCCTCCTGAACAACCAGTCACAAATACAACTAAAGTTGTTAAAAAAGAGAAAACCACACCTTCTGCACCTCAATAATCTTTATGGTTTTAACCTGAACTGTAGGCAATTAGACAGATTACTATATTATATAAAAGAGAGACTACTCATACAAACAGTGGATTCCAGGGGAGATAATTAGACTTCTGGTTCTAGTCAACTATTGACCTATTGTCAGAAATTTAATATTCATCTCACTTTTTGTATAAATCATCTGTTGACAGGCTTCCACTCTCATTCCCATTGTATTCTCTAATATGTTATTTCATGTAGACAATTTGAAAATGTTTATTCAAATCAATCAGATTTATGTTGGCTGAATCTGAAGTATTAAATGAAACATCTAGATCTACATTTTAATCGGCCTGTTCTATCATGTGGCTTGGAGTTAGACCTATGATAATCAGCAAGAGAAGAATTAATGGGTATGAGAATAATGTCTAATCATTATGCAATTTGTAATCATTGATAATTTGTGATGAAGTAACAAGAGTTATCCCTGTCCCTTTAGCTTACATTTTCTATTAAAAATAACATTATCTAATTATTAATCAATCATGAACTAATTATAGCTTTAATATTTTGGTACTAAATGAGTGACTAATTGTTACTTTAAGAGTGGACTGGCCTCCCCACCCCTTGTTTTCCTGTGTTATGATATGAGACTTATGGTAAAGATCATCAATTGAAATCTTTTTACTTTCATTGTTATTTCGACTGGATTGTAATAGTGAAGGGGCATTAGAGATTGGACACTTTATAAGATCTGAAATGATTTCAGTGGGTTTTCATATTCAATATCTTAATTAGGGCTGAAAATATATTATTTTCTTAAGAAAATCAGAATGATATGGAAATCCATGTTTGTTACTGTTATAGACATTTGCCAAATATATTACTGTTAAACTGTACATATTATTACCTAATTTAGCCATTCTCATTGTCATTAAATTTCAAATTCTTTATTTTTAAACCAACTAGCCTAGAGCCATAGTTTTTTTTATGTACATGGGCAGATAGTCCACTTGATTTAGAGGCATATTTGTATAGTTTCAATTACCATAGAATTAATTCTATCTCAAAACAGATTGCAATGATCTCATTTGACCCGAAATAGGCAAAAGTATGTCCACAGGTCTGGAATATGGGAGATACTGTGATGTGCATTCTGAATGATATATCTCCGTTAGACTTATGTCATAGTCATAACTGTAAAATAACAATGCAACCATTGAAATCAATTTTATTGTTGTTACTCTATGTTGTAGTACTAAATATTTGCTGGTTAACTTTGAAGTTACTATTCAATATGGAAGAAATAAAACTTGTACATATATTATGTAAAGCTATTAGGACTATGAGAATGGTTGTGATTGTTTTTATGTGTACAATTATTGTTAAATAAAAAAGCATTTGTTGAAGTTTTGCAAATTTTAAAACTTAGACTTTTTGCTCAATACTTAATATAGCAGTAGTTAATTAATTAGGTAATTAATTAAGTAATTTTATGGACAAATTTAAAGATTGTGCCAACCTTATAGATATATTTTTTTGTTGTTTCACTTTTTGAAGCAAAGTTTCTCTTTTTGTAGAATTGAGCATAACTTATATATGTGATCAAAGCTTACTTAATACATCATTTTGGAAATATGATGCCATATTTGTAGAAGAATTGTATGATCTCTGTAAATCTTTGTTAATAGTTTAAATGAGGACTAGGCGTGGCTTTCAAAATTATTTTTTACAGCTTTAACGAGAAGACTAAATCCTATGTTCTTAGAGTAGCCGGTGAACTTAATGCAAACCAGACAGATTTCATTTATTGTTTCAAAATGTATTGTTTTGTGGTTTTTGTGGTAAATTGCTTGACTTATTTGAACAAATTAGGCAAACATTGATATTTCTTATTAAATTTTTAATGGTGACCCTTTTATGTTAATTGATACGAGATTATGTAGTGTTATGTTCATAAATAATGACTTTTATTTCTTTAAGATTGTTCAGTTAATGATTTTTTGTAGTAGTGATTTGTTTTGGAACTTAGATGGCTATACTAACAACCTTTTAAAGAGATACAGTTGGCTAACTATTTGCTTTACTTACTGACAGAGCTCAATTTGAGCTGTCTGTATCACTTTTCAGAATTAAGAGGCAACATGTGGTTCTGATATTTGACAAATGCCCCATGACATGCATGTTTCTACAGCTACGGTAAATTGATTATGCACATCTGTTGCTATAGAAACGTGCATGATTTGAGACTAACATTTTTGACCATCCAGTTCATAAATAGATAAGTATATCCCTTTAAAGTAATATGTAAAAAAGGAATCAGATATGTTAAATTGTTCTGTAAAATGTGATAGAAAGTTGACTGATTAATATTAAATAAGAAATATTGTAATGATTCTCTTGTGTTATATTCTAGTATTATTTATATTATATCTGTATCTTAATATATAAGTCAATTTGATTCATTATAATATTATATAGTTCTATTACTGCTGTCTATATATCAATCTGGATTGTTATGATAATAATTATATAAATATCATAAAGACTTTTCATTTCTTCAATTGTTGGATAAAATTGCTCTTGTTGTATCAAAGTTGACTACATACAATTTGCTCTACAAGCTCTGTTCATCAGTTGTAAAAGAGAGAAATCTATAAGATTCGAATCGAATAGTACATACCACACACCGTCAATTGTGTAATCAATAAATGGATTTTTTTAATCTTTGCTGTCAAGTAGATCGAGGTTAGATGTACTTTACATCACATTGATTCGGTTGTGAGGCTAGAACATGTGCACACATTATGTCCTTTTAGAGACCTTGTCTATAAGATATACCAGAAAAGTAGGACGTAAAACTCCATTTCATTTAATACGTACAATATTCAGGCAGGGGAGAAACCAGTGAAGATAGCAATAGAAAATGAAATTTCTAGATTTTCTGGAGACTATTTACATATCATATTATATTTAAACTGCATTGATATTAATTGTAGCCTCCGGTAGCTTCCCTGCAGTGACGTCATTTTAATGAAATTTCAAGAACCACACACGTTGGTATGAAAATTGGAATAGTGCAAATTGATGCTATCAGTGTCTCAGATACACAAAAAGTTTAGCAAACCTCTTTACAATCCCTTTAAGGCCCAAATAAACCCCAACACATACTAATTATTGTCCTTTCACCAGTATAATAAGGTAACAACAGAAAAATGGTGTAATGAATTTATTGAAGCCTGTATAATCTATAACATTAAGACAACTAAATAGATAACTTTTACTTATACAAAACATTACTTAATACATTTAACTGGAATGACACATACAGTTAAAACAGCTCTAATCAATAACTGCCAGATTAATGTTTAAAACAGTTGATAGATCAAAGAAAATATTGATTAATGCTTATGTCAGCCAAGTGGTTTGTTTGGTCAAAGCTTCTGTTTTTAGGAAAAGTATCGAAACTGTCCTTACAACATTTCACAAAACTTTTTTCGATGACAATTTCTTGTGCGAAAAAAATATACGCAGGAATTTTTGACAGAAATTATGAAATCTTAAAATTTTTTAGATATTTTTATCAATTTATTCCTAGGTGATGGATTTCATATTTGATTTTACATTAGTGATGAGTCGAGATGCAGAATCTACCTGATAAAAGTGTTAAAAACCACTAGTAAATGGAGAGTCACTGTTTAAACTAAATTTCTGTTTTCATTACAAAGAGTGAGCAAGAGAAATCACATACAAGTGCTACATTGGTATTTTTCTCTGAGCAGAAATACAAGTACAGTGGATTGATTCAGCACCTTATACATGTAGTAGGATAAAAAGCTTGTAAAATAATATATAAGTGATAGATATTGGTTGGATCCAGAAAAATATCCAGTGTTACAGCTTATAAAATACAATCGGATATTACACAAGCCATGGGCATAAAATGCATGAATTTTCAGCTAGTTAGATATTTCTCAATATCTGCTCAATATGTGTGACAAAAAGTTTAAGTGAAATATGTACAGATCTACAGCAGAGTCCTCTAGCCCTCTCAAATAAACAATAATCTTTTCATGCATAATCGGTTTCCTGATCAAGACACAACCTTTCACATTTAACCATATTTTCCATACAAGACAGTAGACACATTTACTTTGACATCTTACCAAACAGTTAATATTTTTACAAGACAGTAGTCAGTAGACACCTTTACTAGCATATACTGCCATAGGACACCTTTACTTTAACATCTTGCCATATAAGACAGAAGACACCTTAACTTTAACCTCTTACCATACAAGACAGTAGACACCTTTACTTTTAAATCTTACCATACAAGAGAGTAGACACCTTTCCTTTTATATCTTACCATACAAGAGAGTAGACACCTTTCCTTTTATATCTTACCATACAAGAGAGTAGACACCTTTCCTTTTACATCTGACCATACAAGACTGTAGACACCTTTCTTTTACATCTTACCATACAAGACAGTAGACACCTTTACATCTTACCAAACAAGACAGTAGGCACTTTTACATCATGACATACAAAACAGAAGACACCTTTGCTGTTGTATCTTGCCATACAAGACAGTAGCCACCTTTACTTTTACATCTTGCCATATAAGACAGAAGACACCTTTACTGTTGCATCTTGTCATACAAAGGTTTGCTGTATAAGACAGTTTCATTGTATAAGATATAAGATTAAACTTCCATAAATATATGCAATAACTAGTGCTGGTGAAAAAATATCAAAAAATACAAATATCTTGATTAATTAATAGCCTACTGAATTGGGGCTTTATGAGTCACCTTATGACTATATGGTAAACTCTCTATGTTATTTTCAATCTGCATTTGATTTTATAAGGTCACACAAATGACAAAATACAATATGCATACATAAATATTTACAAAATCTAAGTTACATGGATACAAACTAAAAATATTAATGATACATAATACATTTCATTACGTATATGCTTAAGTTATTGTGGTCCAAATGCATCAAATAATGTAAGCAGGGCTTTAATTATGATAGGAAAGTAAACATTGGTGCTTTTTATGGAAACCATCATAAAATTCTCTAAATTTCCGAACCAATACAGCCTAACCTTTTGACAATTCTTTCCTCTCAAAGATGCTACTATTATGTTCAAGCAAAAATATTTGAGCATTATTTAGCCAATTTACCTCATATTTAAGCCCTAATAAAATAGATTTCTTTAAGTATGTAAACATTTATGTAATACATTTGCCAGATAATATTTCACATAAGGTTTGATGCATTTGGACCAGTATGTTTTAAAATATAATTATGCTTCTAAATATATCAAAAAGCTTAAAAAATAGGTTAAAACTGTTGAAAATTCAATCACATGTTGTATTATAGCGAACATTTGGGACTAGAATTAGATTTTCATGTTTTAATTTAATTATTTTTTTATCATTGCTGAAAATTAAAATCTGATTAAATTTTATATTTGAGTCTATTGGGTGTAATGGTTCATGCACACTAAATAATAACAAGAATTTGAATGTATTGTTGACTGAGACAAATCAAAGAAGTTGTGTCAATTTTAGTTTTTATTAATGTATATAGACCATTACATTTCAAAAATCAATATAGGTCAATAACAATAAAGATCATTTTGTAATATTAGTAAAGAATGCTTAAAAAATTAAATACCTACATTTGATTTTATTCATACAAAATACTAGTGGGCCTAAAAACTAGCAAAGGATTTTTCATTTTACATCCTATTTTGAATTTTCAAAAACATATATGCACAATGCATAATTAACACTGTATTTGTAAGTTTTAAAGTTTGTCTTAGATTCATTAAAATATGTTTAAATCCAAAACATATTACTTTTAAGATTCAAAGTCAAAAGTAGAATGTATAAAAACGAGACAATACTTGAGCCCATAAAGTGATGGAAATTGTGTTGAAGAAACATATACTACATATTATGTACTAATACAGTTGGCTCTATAACTACTTCATTACTTTACTGTGGAATAACAGCAAATTTATACACTACATTCTTGAAGGTAGGGAAACCATAGTGGTGTATCTTCATTGTTTTATTCTGTTGACCATCTTTCTCATTCATGTCATTGTTGACACTTCTCTTGTACACTGTAAACAAATAGATACAAACAATAGCAATAGTAAACAGAGTGAGCAATTATCACATGTTCAAAGTGGAACTTAAAATATTGCACTAATTTTCAATATAGTAATGTACACATTATTTCATAATGAAGTTGAACATGTTTTCGCTGATATATGTATAGTAATGAACCTAGAATCAATCCAAAATCCTCAAGATTATACATGGACAACAAATTGGGTCTTCCTCACAAACATAACAAAAGTATGTTCCAAAAAGTAAATTAGCCTGTGCATTATACAGACAGTATATTTTATTTCTACACATGTACCTGACCTTATATTTAAGTAACTTTTTGGGACATTGTGAAACTATGTTATGAATGAGCGATGAATGAATGAACTTTTTCTTAAAGCTGAAAAGATGTAAACTGTTGAAGTACTAACCTCCGTCAACAATCTTGACAAGTCTGTAGGTATCATACCAATAACATTGCCTCATAATAAATGGTCCAAATACAGTAACATCAGATACACTGGGTAGAACTTGACGATACTTCTCTCGGATAACTTCAGCACTAGGCATATAATAACCATCCTATAAATAGATTGATTTACCAGAAAGATCAAACATAGTTAAAGAGGGATGTATCTGCCAGATTTAAAAGGAATAAAAATTGTGACCAAATATTGATTAATATTTTAAGGGGGTAATCCTTGTCAGATTTTCAAAATTATTTCACCATTAGCCATATTCACAATTCTTCATTATGACTTTGTTATAAATAATTAAAAAATTTGGCACATACTGCCACCACAAATACCTATGTTCATTGTATATCTGGGAGATCAAACAGAAGAGTATTTATGGTCTTTTCATAAGATTAAGATTATTGAACTCATTACTGCTCTAACATGAGCATTCAAACACATATATTTCTATATTATAGTCAATATCTATACACAAACACTCACACAGTTGTTTTATGTAAAGATTCTTCTAAAAAGATGTATTTTTAACTTTCTCTTAAAAGAGTCAACAGATTTACAGATTTTTAACTGTTCAGGTAACTTGTGCGATAACTGTGGTCCTGCTACACTAAATGACCTATCCGCAAGTGTTTTATATTTTGTTGATTGTACACGAAGAGTAAGAGGATCTTGTACAATACAGATTAATATACATTTAATTGTATTATGTATTAAGTATTATGTTATAAAATCAAGGTTATGCTGTAAAATGTTTCAATTATATATGACATAAACCTCAAAATATTGTATAGGTACTTCAAATGACTGATAAATGTCAAAATAAACCTGAAGATTAAGGTCGTATGATATCATGCATTTTTTGTCAATTAATGAGTTAGATAAAGTTACATGCACCTGTACCAATGAAATCAACAACACTCTGACTAAAATGTTTACTGCGTTCAAATTTGGCTATAATTTTCGTATTAATTGAAATATCAACTATAAAATACTACTGAGAGTCTTAGATTGTCTTTGGATTAATAAAAATGTCATCCACTGGAAAAATTTGTAAAAATGATATTACATAGGGGAATTTTCAGCCTGAAAAGTAGGTTATTTCCACGTGAATACTCTGGGAGGGAAGAGTCTCTTTATCAAATGATTCACTGAAACTTATATTTCAATAGACTCATACAGTTGAAATTTTATTTTGAAATGCAGAGAGTCAGAGAGTAAGTCTATCTATACACAAACCTACCTTATACTTCATGATAAGATCAATCAGATCTTTAGGTGGTGCTAACATAGTTCTATTAAGTTTCATAATAAAACAAGTCTCCAGGTGGTTATCAATGATAGCTGTATAGTTCTACAAATAAAAAACTACTTCATTGGGACCATGAAATTGAACATTTACTTTAAAACAATGTCCTTTTTATGTTCAGGTTATGAAATAGATAGTAAAAAAAAGAAAAATTACATTTTATAAATTTTGTGAATCAAATTATTGGCTACACAGCATACTAAAATTTCTAATGAAGGAAAGCAAGCAAACTGTCCTTTGGACATAAATAAATGAATTGTGGTTCAAATATGAAGACAGTTAATAATTCCCTCGACTTACCACACCAAAGTCATGCCATACAACAGTCTCTTCACATTCATCAAATTCTGGCACTGTCAATGTTTCAAAATTATCAATTTCTGATACTTCTACATCTTCTTCTATATAGTGAAGATATTTAGATTGGGGTTCATCAGAATGGGGCTTATTTGATAAACTCTGTCCAATTAAGTTGTTAGCTTGAGGTTTAAAGGTTACATGTGCTATCAAATCATTTGGTTCCTGGCCATACATTTCATCAATATAACTCACTCCACATCGCCCTCGAACAATCTAAAATAATGAATTATGAAATCTAGTAACTACATGACATGGAAAAGCTTATATAGATTCAGACACAAATTAATCAAATTCATCCATTTATGAAAGGATAATCAACAATATCAAACGATAACAAAGACCAGGATGCCAGAAAGTCAAGCAGTTTATCTTTTTCTCATTTTCTGATTGAATGTTTATATATTAGTAAGTTTTAAATCAGGAGAAAGCTATAGAACAGATCAAAATGTAAAATAATTCTAATTGACTACAGGACAGCTAGTTTTAGAAATGGTGGCAATGCACTTTCAAAAATTAGACATTGGAGTTAAGTTAGCTAGGTTGCTGTAAAAGACAGTGTCTATACTTACACGGACAGATAAATGTTTATACAGATACACAGCTCCGAGCAAACCAATACCCAGAACTAACAATGCTGCTACTATTAAACATAGATTCACCATGGTTCTTGTTCTTCTAGGATTGTAGGTCACTCGCACCACTTTAGGTGTAGATGTTTCTAAGTCATCTACTTCTGTCAACCCAGTCTAAATTCAAATGAGTGAAAAAATAAAACACATGAGAATTCTTGTACATATAATTAGACTAGATCTATTCTAAAATTATTCAATCTGGCAGTATTATGAAACAAAGACTAAGTGATGACCCTATAAAGATACGGTACCGGATTCTGTAATCATGCTTTCATAATCAACTGAGATCACCATAATATACAGTATCAAGTTACCTATTTATGACACACATTTATAGGCGATAGCATAACGTCATTGAAAAAATCTCTTGTCTTGGTGCTTCTATGACAATAATATAGGAGAAAACTAGAATGTTTAGCCTATAGACCATTGACTATTAAAGAAATGTTTGGTTCTGACCTAAAATGGACTCATTGAGATCAAAATGGTCTACCAGGAAATAGTTTAGTTATTTATTAAGTCACAAGTGTATAAACCTTAAAGAAAAATAAAAGCAAAAGATCTCTTTTTAAAACGCAAAATTTAGGTCATTAAGCTTATTCAGAGAGCTAACTAGGCACACACACTAATGCAACCTATTTGGTTAATCAAAATGTGTAATACACATATCGAAGTAACTTTTGATTGTGTATTTAAACTGAACATGAATCCAAAGGAAAGAAATATGAAATTAATAAAAATGGCAGAAATGGGTAATTTTCACTCACCAGCGGTTCAGTTGCTGTGACTATTTCGCCATTAATCAGGAATTTATCAGCTTTCTTTTCGGCTGATGTTGTTTTAAAGATCGTCATTGTTAATTTTACTAGCAAACCACAGACTGAAAATACTAAAATATAATCAAATTGACGAAAACTCTTTATCAATTTCGCAGTCCTGTCTTCTTGTTTTTATTATTATTTTTTCCACTTCCGGCTGATTTCATTAAACGGTGTAATGCAATATTCATTCCAATTGTGAAATATCCATTGCTATTGTATTTGTCAAAAAATGCAGATATAAGACAATTGAGATATTCAGTATTGGTAACAATAAATAACGATCCAAATCAGCAAATTTTTGCTACCGTTATTGAAACGGAATCGCACAAGAAACTGCAACAAATAACTGAACTATGAAATTCTGTATCTCAATATTCTCAATGAAGGAACGCCCAATCCATGTGACAGTCATGTGACATTGTTGTTTATCAATTTTTGACAGACAGAAATGGCACTGACAGTTTTGTGCATGATTTTGTTGTTAAATTGTGTAACATCAGACGTGCCTTATAAAGAACTATATTATGATCAAATTGTTGATCATTTCAACTACATTTCATATGGACAACAGAGGTTTAAACAAAGATATTTGATTCAGGGTTAGTGTATGAGCTTCCTACTTTCTTAAGTTCTTTTCTATCCTGTCATGTAAAAATAAATGACTAATTCTAATTTGCAGTCGTTGGCCAATGTCCCATATGTAGGAATGAATATTACTCTTCTTATTTCTATTTATATAAAATTGCCATTTTATAATGTAAGATTTTAGGCCAATAGGCTAGGTAGTAGATTTTACAACTTGTAAAGGCGGGAAACCACTATGCCTACATTTTCCTCCCATACAATAAATGACCCTAAGTAATGACAAAGTAAATAAAATAAAGATTTTAATCAGAATATTACTTTTAGTAGGTACAATTTATAAGATAGTTGATTCAGATTTCAACAATTTGTATATTTCAGATAAATGGTTTGATCCTGCAAGCAAGGGCCCAATATTTTTCTACACTGGTAATGAAGGTCCTATTACATCATTCTGGAATGCAACTGGTTTTATATTTGATATTGCTCCACAGTTTAATGCCTTGGTTGTCTTTATAGAACATGTAAGACCATTGTATTTATAGTGTCATGTTATTGTATTGGAGAGACAGTTTTATACAGTTTTTAAACTAGACCATAATCTTACATCAATTGATACCTCTTTTGTAAACTTCAGAAATTATATGAAAACAGATTGATTTTACAATGTCCTGAGTTTGCAAAAATAATTGAAGTGTGGAATGCATAATTTAAATAAATTTTTAACAAAATATTTCATTAACAAATGTTTATTGGTTCTATACCGATATATATGTTGCTTAAATAACTTTTACAGAAATTTCATTTTATTAGAGTAAAAGTACCATTTAGAGCCGATTTATAATAATTTATATTTGTAGAGATATTATGGTAAAAGTTTACCATTTAGAGCCGATTTATAATAATTTATATTTGTAGAGATATTATGGTAAAAGTTTACTATTTGGAGCTGATGGTTTTATAATAATTTATATTTGTAGAGATATTATGGTAAAAGTTTACCATTTGGAGCTGATAGTTTTATAATAATTTATATTTGTAGAGATATTATGGTAAAAGTTTACCATTGGAGCTGATGGTTTTATAATAATTTATATTTGTAGAGATATTATGGTAAAAGTTTACCATTTGGAGCTGATAGTTTTATAATAATTTATATTTGTAGAGATATTATGTTAAAAGTTTACCATTTGGAGCTGATAGTTTTATAATAATTTATAATTGTAGAGATATTATGGTAAAAGTTTACCATTTAGAGCTGATAGTTTTATAATAATTTATATTTGTAGAGATATTATGGTAAAAGTTTACCATTTGGAGCTGATAGTTTTATAATAATTTATATTTGTAGAGATATTATGGTAAAAGTTTACCATTTGGAGCTGATAGTTTTATAATAATTTATATTTGTAGAGATATTATGGTAAAAGTTTACCATTTGGAGCTGATAGTTTTATAATAATTTATATTTGTAGAGATATTATGGTAAAAGTTTACCATTTGGAGCTGATAGTTTTATAATAATTTATATTTGTAGAGATATTATGGTAAAAGTTTACCATTTGAAGCTGATAGTTTTATAATAATTTATATTTGTAGAGATATTATGGTAAAAGTTTACCATTTGGAGCTGATAGTTTTATAATAATTTATATTTGTAGAGATATTATGGTAAAAGTTTACCATTTGGAGCTGATAGTTTTAAAGATAAGAACTATGGGTTATTAACTATAGAACAGGCTATGGCAGATTTTGCTGTTTTAATAACTGATATAAAACATAACCAATATAAAGCTAACAAATCACCCATTATAACATTTGGAGGAAGGTAATATCTTTTCCATCTAAGTCACCATGATGGGCATAATGTTCCTATTGCACACTGCATACATTACCTGTCATGACTATCTCAGTCAGAAAAGCAGGATGCAAAACTCTATTTCTCTTCAATTTTTTTTTATAAGAGTTTGACTTAGTATGTTTTCAACAAAGATATCAAATCAACAGTATTTGCTAATACAGTATTCTTGAGTTCACAAACTCAATTACAGAAAGGGATCAAGTGTAGGCGTACTGAAGATATGCTTATGTCATGTCTATCTCCATGGTAAGATCTGTCATAATTTTTTAGTCCTGCTACAATAACCTAATGAAATCTATTTTTAGTTATGGTGGTATGCTAAGTGCTTATATGAGATTTAAATATTCTAACATCATTGCTGGAGCTATAGCTGCTAGTGCACCAATCTATATGCTATCACCCAAATGTGATCCAACTCAATATTTTGTTAGAGTTACTGAGGTAGGTAATCATTTAGCTATCATCATAAGTCTATCCTCTAGTCTGATGTAAATGCTGACCTGAGTGTGTTTTTTTTTTTTCTGCTGATGACTTGCTATCTATGATCTGGGGATCTTTTTGCATATTCCTTTTCTGGGTCAGTGAACTTTCAATCAATCAAATGTCTATTCAATATAAGATCCCCTTTCTGCTACTTATCTAGATATATCTAATTAGTTCACATGAATTTTTCTGTGAAAGGGAATATTTATGTGCAGCAAACCAACTAAAATCATAGAGATGATTGTTTTATTGTAGGATTTTAAACAGTCTAATCCCCAATGTTCAGCTAATGTTAGAAAAGCTTTTACTGTCATGGAGAATATGGTACAGAGTGGACAAGCAGGTATTTATCTCTATCGCCATACCACATTGACTAAAGTTTTCTGCCAATTGTGTTGATATTTTAGTAACTTGTCCAAGACAAAACCTCTTGGCAATGGTCTTTTCCTGAATTATCCGTAAACTTTTTAAATCTAAAGCAAATTGTTCATGTTCCTAATAAAATAACAGATTTCTTATAGAAAAATATATATATATATATAAGTGGGAAAACTTTCTAATTTAATTTACTAATTGCCTTTACTTTTAATAAAAATCAGTTAACATCTGACTTCTATTTTGAAAAGAGATACATGTGGCTAACAAAAATAATGTTATTTATTTTATTTTCATTTATAGTTATGTATGAGTGAATAATTTACTGATTTTTTATTTATAGAGAAAGTTTCTGAGAAATTACACCTATGTGAAACATTTAATTCTACTGGGTACAACCAAGTAATAGGATGGATAAGAAATGCTTTTGTATCTCTGGCCATGTTTGATTATCCATATCCAACTAATTTTATGGGACAGTTTCCTGCTTTTCCTGTGGATGTAAGTTGTTATTCAAAGTATATTGCCTCTGTTTACAAAAGGATATGTACCAGCTTTATAAAAACTAATTGTTAGAAATATGGCTATTTTGTTGATATATTATTGTTTTATAAATTTGAATCTAACTAAGTGTATAGAAACATTAAAAGGACAGATGTGCCTTTTTGGGGGTTGATTTTAGTCTTGAATATCTGAAAACAGTCTACAGAAGTATTAAAAAGATACGAAAATCACATAATTTTTACTCACTATTTCTATATAATATGTCTTTTATATATATCTTCAATTGACGAGTTGTCATTATAACATTCAAACGCAGGTAATTCTGGACCCACATTGATTTGAAAGCTCAAATTTCGATGGTGAGCTGTGAACACTGTTTTGATTAGCTCGAGTCAGCTAAAAAAGTATGATTGGTAAAAAAAATGGCCTCCTGTCCTTTTAAGACTGAAATTGTGCCTAATTATTTCTAGGTTTCCTGTAGTTATATTGTCAATTCAACAGATCTGGTTTCTAGCTTGGGTCAAATGGTTGGTAAGTGTATTATGATTTCAATATATAGATTAAGAAGTTTGAATTGTTTTGTTGTTCTTTATCATCACAATAGTATTTTGTAGTGTTTAAGAAATATGAGCAATATTAAAAAAACCTGAAAATTTTATTAATCATTTCACATCATGATTTTTCTCTTTAAAAAGTGTTTTAGTGCTCTAATCTTACCTTATAACGCAGTAGTTAATGATCTTGTTTAAATGGGACCCTGGCAGACCTGATGTAGTTGGAGTTTTCATCTTTGATTAACCTTCAACCTATCATAGTAATAGAAATGATGCTCACTTGGGCCCTTGAAACCACAGTTTTAATATGTGTCTTTCATTTGACCTTCACTATAAACATATATATTATTTGCCAGCCCAATTTGACTTGTTTTGTTTTGATTGACTTATATTTGTTAATGTCACTATTCAAAATAGTGTATCTAGATATGTTACATTTCTTATTTAAATAGTATACACTTTTTTAAGCATTATTCTATAATGGTACAAATGGATCTAAGAAATGTTTTGATATTTGGACTGAGTATGTAGCTTGTGCTGATCCTAGTGGTTGTGGTCTGGGTCCAGATAGTCATGCTTGGGACATTCAGGTAATCCTCACTTCTCCATTGTTAAATCGTTACAGTCTTCCTAATGTGTGTCTTACTATCTGATATCTAAGAGCTCTACATGTAAATGTGAATGTTTGTGAGACTGTAGAAGTGACAATTTCAACTTTTTCAATATCTTTTTACTGAATTATAGGAGAACAGGTTTTCTGAATTTCGATCTGATAAGAAATATGAATAGCTGTAATTAATATCTATCACCTTGCAACTTAATATTAGACATACAAGTACCAATGTATGATACGAAACTACAATGGTTCTTACATGTAAATAACACATAGGCATGGACATAGTTCACAGCCATCTTGAATCTCTTCCTTAACTTAATAAGTCAAAGTTTATAATATTTCAACTTTAGGTTTAGAAATTGCTTTAAATGGGATCACTTATTACGTGACTCAAAATGACTGTGAACTACATTTGTGTCTGTTATTTCCAGGTAAGAATCATTATGTAGTTTCATATGCCACATTATCTAATTCTTTGTTTACAGGCATGTTCAGAAGTACCAATGTATTTTAGTACAGATGGTGTAGAAGATATGTTTCCTCCAATGAAGTATGATGCTGCTATGAGGAGAAAGTACTGTCAGAAGAAATGGGGTATTACACCTAGAGATGGTTGGGTCAATACATTATTTTGGGGCATAGGTCAGTAATAATTCTATCTTTCATGATGCTTTCATATTTATAACTGTGAAAAATCGTGTGGTTCAATTGAATTTTAGCAATAAAAGATTCTAGAATATATATGTTTCTTACAATTTGCATTTTTCAGATATACTAGGAGCATCTAATATATTGTTTTCAAATGGTGGTAAAGATCCATGGGCTTTTGCAGGGGTAAATATTTTAGTTGCTTATATGTTCTCTGTCATACTTTAAATGAGTTATATAAATGTTCTCTGCCATACGTGTTTACTTGTTTATGAGTTATCTATCATACTTCTTTTATAAGTGTACTTGTTTATAATTCTTTATCATACTTGTTCATAAAATCTCTGAGTACTGGTTCTGTCATACTTGTTTATAAGATCTCTGTCATACTTGTCCACAAGTTCATTATCATACATGTCCACAAGTTCATTATCATATTTGTCTCCATCTTAATTGTCTCTGGGATCTCTGTCATACTTTTCTGTGGGTTCTCTGTCATAATTGTCCATAAGATTTCTGCAGTTGTCCATAAGTTCATTATCTTACATGTTTATAAGTCTCTTTCATACTTGTTTGTAAAATCTCTGTAGTAATGGTTTTGTTATACTTGTTTATAGGATCTCTGTCATACTTGTTTATAAGTTCATCATCATACTTGTTTATAAGTTCATTATCATACTTGTTTATAAGTTCATTATCATACTTGTTTATAAGTTCATCATCATACTTGTTTATAAGTTCATTATCATACTTGTTTATAAGTTCTATCTATAAGTTGTATGAATGTTACATTTTAATAATGAATCTATTTCTTTACAGGTGTTACATAATTTATCAGATAATTTAACTAGTGTAATAATACCTGATGGTGCTCATCATTTAGATTTAAGGTATGTGTTTTATGTGGTCCACTGTACATTATATTCTGAACCTAGCTAAGATTATCCTAGCCTCTTATTGTGGTTGAATAGATTCAATGAAGCATGAACTTTGATATTTGAAATAAGCACCATCTTCATCTTGGAATCGCAAATATTTATTTAGACTTTGTAAATGTCAAACATGTTTTAGATGGGTTTCAGTTTACAACTTTGCATCTGTGGGTTGCAGAGTTATTGCCCTTGAATCTTTTAAAAGCTAAAACCAGTTTTTCTATGCAAATAATCGTTTTATAATCAACTGTTGTAGGCAACTGCTCTCTTTTCTTACATTTATAATATATATACGTAATACAGTGATATTGCTTTTCTTGGTAATTTTTTTCAGATTTAGTAGAATGTGATTTTATTTTAAATGACCTGAATGTACCTATATTCTGTTTTTTTTTTTCAGGGGAGCTAATCCTCGAGACCCACCTGACGTATTTAAGGCTAGAGAGCTAGAAAAGTATTATATAAGATTATGGATTAATACAGCCTATAACAAAGAAAATCAAAATTCTAAAATCTAACTACCTCCCAAAACAACATTCATTGTGACTGTATTAAAGTCTTGTGCCAGAGCTTTCGTAACTTTGTCATTAGTTCAACCTTTACTCTCAAAACAACATTCATTGTGTCTATATTAAAATCTAACCCCCACCCAAAACAACATCATTATGTCAACAGTTACCGGTGTCTTGTCTATTAATGTTACTAGTAGGCTACGAATTCACATAATTAAACGGATTTATGAATGAAAAATCAAATTTTTTACTTTAACAAAAATATATGGATATAGATATATGGATTTATGTTCGTCCGTTCGGGGTCCAATCCCGTTTACTTAAAGTAACAGATTTCATGTGTTCATGAACAAGCTATTTACGAGGATTAACACAAGTGTATTCGATTAATGAAAATTATGAATAACTGTGCCGAAATGAATATATGCCTTATATTACTGTGCCCAAAGAGAGTGTGTTTCAAACAAAGAATACGTGCCTGATTAAATCTGTGCTGAGATGACCATGCCTAAATGACCCATGCTTAACCTAAATGTTTGTGCCTAACTGCCTTGTGAATAGTCGGCATTTTTAATATATCAAAATAGCATTCAGATAAATAAGAAATTTCTGATTTGAAGGCTCAAATTTCGACGGTGAAATCTATGCACAAATAGGTCTGAGGTGAATCTCCATGGTTAACCTAGCTGAGTCCTTTACTTTCTGGTGCTGGTCCTGCAAGTACAGATGGTGATCTTGAAACGTCGTTTTAGTGCTCGGTCTAATATTGGGTTCAATATTGAGTGATTTTTGCGAATACTGCAGTTGGAGTCATTACCTTGACCAGCAAAGAGATGGCTTTTCCCCTTTGATTTTGTGGCTTGGTGTGCTTGCTACGTTGGGGAAACGATCGACATATTGGTAATTTCGGTTGTCTTTTTTACCCATTGGGGAATATTAACCTACATCATGACTTTTATAAAAATGCGTTAGTGTGGGCGTGTTTGAGCCTTACAATAGATGCTTTTGTTTGAGGTGCAAATTTATTTCATCTCGATATCATCGATCAAATCTTTTAATTGTTGGTATTACAATCATCACATCAGAGATTTCTGAAACACTCAGATAACGATCCCTTTTACCAATTCCCTAAAAGACTTGATTGAAATTGTGGACTGTAGCCAAATAAAAATGGATTGCCCCACGAAAAAATCTTACAACCGACTAATTCCATTACTGCAATAAAACACCATATACCATTGCCCCTCCAGATATATTACTTACCCCTGGCCTCAGACCCATCAAGTCTGGCTGGGGGTCTTTATAGAAATCTTATCATATAGGACTACAAAATGCAAATTTAGATAAATGATTTTCAAAAAATGTTATGCATTTGTTTTTACCTTTTTACCTTTTTGCTAAAACCTCCGCCATCTCATCACAAGCCGTTTTCCTTACGAAAATTACTGAACTGCATGTTAAAGTAATGCGGACATTGACTAAGTGTAACAGGTAGGGTACAGTCATTATACGAAACCGATACCGACAGAACGATTTCGAAATTTCTACCTGAAGTTCGTGGTAAAGTAGATTTACATTTCGACAGTCGGCTGACTGGATTGGAGCGTGCCAAGCACTGTTATTATATATCACCACCTTAAAAAATGATAGTTGGAACCCCATGAAACAACGTTTCGACTAGGATACATTCTGTAGAGTAGCTACTGTGTGGTAGATTAACGGATTAGTGTTTAATACTTAAAGCTTATATTCCCCATCAGGTAGGTGTATTTATATCCAGTATTCTATGGTGTCGGGTTTCACTATACCAGATGTAAAGCATATGTATATATTTAGAACTGATGTCTACCAACTTGTGTTTGAGTGTCTATACTCTAAATTACTTTGTTTGATAGCTTAAATACGACTATTTCTAATGAATAGTTAAGGAGTAGCCATTGAGAATTTTAAGTACTGGATAATGTCGCGGATACTTCTGCAGTAGTTTATTGAAAAAAAAAAACCTATTTGAATTCGAAAGATTCATTATTCAATTGGTTTCATTTCTGAATTACTGCCGCCCTGACTAACAATTTGTTAATTGATGTGCAATTTCTGAAAAAAAGACACATTTTCTGGCTAAAACGAGTGCTGGATACACCGATTATGTACATTTTTTAAAATCTAGTAGAATAAGCTTTACAGATGAGATCACTTTCACTCATTAATATTATCAACTGAGAGGTTCATCCACCCGTAACACTTCTCAGTGCCAAAATCTGGCGTTGAGTTCTGGGTTAAGACACAACATGGTGAAACAATGAAGCTAGTTAAGTAATTGTTTCACAACTTACAAAAACAAATCTACAGACGTAACCACCGTTTTTTATCAATTACGAACATCATTTCTAAGTCTTATTCTAAAAAGCGTTTTAGGGGGTGAGAGCCAATACCGGGTCGACTCTCGAAAGTACTAGCATAGGATTACTAAAATCAGCCATAGCTTATGAATCAATAAGACTGAAATGATTTATTAGTCAAAATGTCTCAAAATGGATCTTCTACCGAGTCTCTATAAATAGTGATATTTTGACTATGATATAATTCTTATAAAATATTTAAGACCCAGATTTATAAAATATAAATTCTATTCATACACATGTAAACCATTATTGTATTGTTTCCTTTCCTGTCTCATGACTTTACAGGAAATCGTATAACAGAAATCTGGAGGGCTATAACAAAAGTTTCTAAAATATAATAATATAGCTTTTCTTTCATACATCTTGATTTATCATCCTTGATATCCTTGGGTATTTGAGTATCTTTGGGTCTTGAATATATATGTACATGTATATAGTTTTCAGAAATACTAGAAATGTACGAAAATTGCATAATTCCTTCAAAAATACCTCAAACTAAGAGTTCCACTTTCTATTTCAATGTTTTTTCTATAATATATGAAACGCGTACAATTCTGGACACTCATGGAATTAAAGGCTTAAATTTTGACTGATACGCTGAGCTAAAAAAATTCTCGTTTCTGAGACTAAGGTATGATCTATCCCTTTAAATTATTATCCATCTCTTAAAATCTGTCCTTTTATATTGAATTTATTCATAAAACATTTCTTATCGTGTATATCCTTTTTCTAAAAAGTTTTTATTTACAAAATATCTTAACGTTCGTATTACCAGCTTATGACCTGCGTAGTTTTATTTAAATTCATGTAGGCCTATGTTAATTTGTTTTTTTATGTCAAGTTGACATACCAATACTAATGGCTTCATTTATCGGTCGTACATCTATCGCAAACACCACTCACTTTTGTACCCGGGTTTGTCAACTTGGTATATTTTTCGGGAATTTCCACATAAAACTATTAACGTTGTTTTGGATGTTTTTACAAGCAACTTAATGATTACCTCAATATTCTTCGATTCTGTGTATGTTGTTAATCTGTAGGTCAAAAAGGCCTTGTAGAGAAATTTTAGGCGCTGTTTTTGCTGAGAACAAGAAATGAAAGGCTATGTATTCTTTCACACTGAATATAATTATGTAGTAGATATACACGTAGTTTGTGCTGCACTGATTTATTGACACAGTAAAGTTAATTAGATTTTCATTAGACCAACCTGCACTAACTCATTGACTACACAAACTTACTCAAGTCATCTACCATTTAGTCGCTACATATTTAACACTGGTTCCATTTAATATAACAACTTCATTTCATGCTTCGTCAAAACTTTATAAAGATTTTTGATATTCTATTGCTAAAAACTTCGTCCCTTTATGACATATTTCTTTTAAAGGGATTTAGTCGTTTGCTGGTTGAAAGAGCTCAATTTCGACTATATATCCATTATAACAGAATTAAAATCTGACATCCAGTTCCTCTACAATGAAACAAATTGTACTACGGAAGTTGAGATTGCCATCATTTCCAGGCCATTTTGACATGTAGATATTGCTGATGACGTCATAATATCATCAAATCATCTAGTCAGTAATGACCATAAGTGAATTAAGTGTAGACGTTCCAGGTTTTTTATTTGTAGGGAAACCGAGGGAAGAATTTCAATTCTAAAAAGTCATACGGGTAGCTGAAATTCTTGTCCTTAATCAACAAAGAAAGCAAACTTCCGACTATTCACCCGTCGAATTAAGATATGAATTAACTAAATATTCCAGTTCATCTGCACAGTTTTGGATAATTCTCGATTTTAAATCATCTACCTACAGTAGAGTAAAGATCGAGTACCAGTGAAAGCTGATCGTGTATTATCTGAAGTCTACAGATGTATAATGTCACTCTACACTCTTCCTTCTGACTGTTATCTCGTCTGATTCATCCCACTCCTTTATATTAATCATCATTATCACAACTCTTCATATTTCTTATATAGCCTTGGAGTATCAATATCAGGTGAATTATATCACACGATAGACCTAATTAGACCAGGAGCCCAGAGGGGTCAGCCTAGCTGAAAAACTAACCAATTCTTATATGTATCACTATTCTCCATGGACATTCCCTTTAAAGGAAATGGACGTCTGCCGGGCATGCATTGGTGGGTGTGGCCAGGAGAGGTCAAAGAAGAGTACCATTAAGATAGGCTAGTTCAGCTTGTCAAATAACTAATAGAAACTAGTACCAAAGTGGTCAGCATACAGCCATATACTATAAATGACTTTTGCCAGACATTTCCAGTGGTGGACTGTGTCCGCCAGACAATGATATCCGATACAAGAAAATTGAGCTAGATCAGCTTATGAGCTAACTGCATGAAACCTTTTGTAAAATCTTCGTCTTTAACATGTGAATCAAGAATGACCACTGCCAGACATTTTCTGTGGTGGAAAGCCCCTGCCAGACGACCCCATGTGACCCCACCCTCTAAAATGACCTAGGTTAGCCCATGAGCTAACTGCATGAAACCTTTTGTGAAATGTTCGTCATTGTTTCATGTATCGAGAATGACCACTGCCAGACATTTCCTGTGGTGGAAAGCCCGTGCCAGACGCCCCAAGTGACCCCTACCCATAAAATGACCTAGGTTAGCCCATGAGCTAACTGGATGAAACCTTTTGTAAAATGTTCGTTATTGTTTTTCGTGTATCAAGAATGACCACTGCCAGACATTTTCTGTGGTGGAAAGCCCCTGCCAGATGCC